GCCCGGACCCCTGATACACCCCAAGCACCGCCTCTGCCACGTCCCCCTTGCCTGCGCGCGCCCGCAGCAGCGCCATCCCTATGTGCCACGCCACGCTCAGCGAGTGCGGCACCGCGGCCCGCTTTGCGACCGCCCCAAGCATCGGCGAGCTCGCCAGCCCGGCGCTGCCGCCCGCCACGTCGCAGGCTGCGCGCAGGGCGCGCTCCACGTGGGTCGCTGAGCTGGCGCGGGTCATGAGGAGCAGGCCGCCCTTGTCATCAGCCAGGGCGCAGGGGGTCAGGGGCACGCCGGCAACGGCGGCCGTCGTCATCTTTGGGTGCGGCGGGCGGGGGTGACGCGCGGGAGGTGAGCGGGGGTGAGGGAAGTAGAGGTGGTTGGGAGGGGCATTCGACGCTGGTTTTGTCAAAGCACCCGCCGCCAATAAAATCGAACGCAGTACCCGCACTTCACAGCAGTGTCAGTCGATGCCAGGCTGGTGCAGCCCTGCGTGCAGCATAGGTTGATGCAGCAACCCAGACCACCCCCTTCTCATCCACCTCCTTTCAATCAACTCCTTTATGCCAGTCCACCCACCCACCCCCTGCTGGTGCCCACACCTCCCAGAAATGACCATCCAGATCATCTGGACAAGCCGTACATGCACTCTCAACCCCCGCTCACGCCACCCCACGCATTCGCATGAGTGCGCACCCTGCGACACCTGCGCAAGCACACCAGCACGCAACCACACAACCGTACACACGCCACCAAGCACACAAGCACACAAATCCACAAGCACACAACCACACCCCATTACACAATCACACCCCACCGCACAACCACACAGAAACCCGCGCCACCACACACCAACCACACACCTGCAACTCCGGGAAGGCGCGACCCATCAGGTCAGCGTCCAGCGCCGGCAGCCCCAGCGCCATCGCCACCGCCAGCGGCTCCAGGCAGTTGCCGCCCCCGACCTCCGCCACCATCACCGCCCCCAGCCGCCCGCCGACGTCGCCGGCGGCGCCGCCTCCCTGGCCTCCGACGCCGCCGCCAGCGGCGCCTGCAGCTTCCAGGGCGGATGCCGCCGACGTGGCGCCGACGGCCCTGCACGCCGCGACGCCTTCCAAGTACTCCGCCAGGCCCCTCACCGCCGCCTCCGCCTCCCCGCCCGGCAGCTTCTCAGCAGATACCGTCGGCGCCCCCATGCCGCCCGCGTCGCACACCAAGGCATCGTCCGGCAGCAGATGCAGCGGCAGCACCCGCGGCCGCGGCGGCCCTTTACCTGCCGCCGCAGGTGCAGCACCCGGCGCCATCACTGCGGGCGCAGCCCCCAGTGCCATAGCGCTGGCAAGGCGCAGGCGCGCATGCCGTGCGGAGCCGCCCCCTCCGGCCCCCAGGACCTGCGCCCCCAGGGCCAGTGCGTCCAGATCAAGATCACCCAGCTCCCACTCGCCCTGGGGGTAGTATGTGATTGTTGGTGGTCTGGCATGCTGCATGGGTGCAATTGCCACCGGTCTATTCAGTCAACCGCACCACCCTAGCTGGCCCTACGGAGGCGACGCCGCGCGGAGTCAAAGCATGCACGCCGCGCCCCGCTGCTGGCAGCAGCGCCCGCGAGAGCCGGCCGCAGAGCCCGCGCCGGCTGCACGCACACACGCACGCACGCTTGCGCGAGGTGGCTTGGGTGATACGGGTGGGGCGGACGCGCCTGGCTGTTGAAGCGCGGCTTGTGGGCTGCCAGGTCAGCGGCGCTCCATTCTGGCGCCTGCATCGACTCTGGCTCGGAGTGGAAAGCTAGACTGGCCGGCGGCGGCAGGCCCTCCTCCTCGGCTGCGCGTGCGGCCGGTTGCAGAACTCCGGCCTCGGCTGCCTGCTCCGCCGCCGCCCCAGCCGCCGCGGCCGCCGCGACAGCAGCAGTCCCTGTCGCCGCCGCGGTATCCTCCTTCACCGCCGCGGCCGCCGTTGGCGCGGCAGCCGCCGTCGCCTGTCTTTCTGACAGATCCAGGTCCCCCACCACCCTTACCTTCACCCTCGCTGCGCCGCCTGGCAGGTACGCCAGGGGCACCACGTCCTGGGAAGCTACCCGGCAGCTGCCCGGCGCCGCGCCGGCGGCCTCCGCGGCGGCGGTGGCGCGTCGCACGGCGTCAGCCAGGGCGCGCCGCCGCCGGGCGCCGCCTGATTGGGCTTCCGGAGGGGAGGGTTGCTGGCCCGGCGCCTGCTGCTGCTGGGGCGCAGGCAGCGGCGGTGGTTCCTCCGCGTCGTCGTCTCCGAGGTTGTACAGCGCATCAACACTGCCGCTGACCTGGGCCGTGCGTGAGTGTTGGGGTGACGCGCGTGTTGGCATGAGTGTGTGCGCGTACGCGCGCGCGTGCCATAGCATGCGCGTCCGCGCACCCTTTGCTGTGTGTGTGTGTGTGTGTGTGTGTGTGTGTGTGTGTGTGTGTGTGTGTGTGTGTGTGTGTGTGTGTGTGTGCGCGCGTGCGCACGCGCGCACGCGCAGCGGCTGCGTTTTTGTGTTTTCGTGTATGCACGCACGCCCACTTGCGCACATTCGGGCACACACATGAGCGCCCACAACAAAGCATAAAGCTGGTGCACTCCAACGCCAGCCAGCCTCACCTGCGGAATCGCCGCCCCCACCGCGTTCGCCACCTTCGCATGCGGCGGCCGCACAATTCCCCCCGCGCCGGCGAGCCCGGCGCCGCAGAGCGACTCGCCGCCCCCCACCAGCAATACCGGCAGGGCGCGGTCTTTCGCGCTCGGGATGACTGACTCGACGCCTGCTGCCAGCACGGATTGGATGGCCTGCAGGCAGGGCGGCCAGAGCGCGGAACTGGGGCAGGTGTGCTGGCTTGGCGAGCTCCAATTGGCAGCTTACCCTGCAGCGCTTGGGTGCGGGACATCAGGAGCCGCCCATGCAGCTTCTGGGTGGCTTCCAAATGCTGGGCCCCGCCCCACGCCCTGCTCTTTGCATTCCTGAGCCATCTTAGGGTGGGAGCAAGCGCAGCAAGACAGCAGCCGCAGATAGTAGGAGGCACGTGCGCTGCCTGGTCATGGCCGGCGCGACGACCGAAAGCCGCGGCCCTCACCTCCCACGCCTCCTCGAGCTGCTGCGCCGGCGGCCACACCCCATCTGATGCCCCCGTCGCCTCCTCCTCCGCGGGCGCCGCCGTTGCTGCTGCTGCAGCCGCGGGGCCGCCTTCCAGCCGCATGCGGCCCAAAGAGACCGCCACGTCGGTTGCAGTCAGGGTGGCGCCCCCAAAGGACAGCGCCTCCGTGTACAGGTCATTGCCCACGCTCTCCGGCCCAACGTGGCACCCACCACCGCCGCCGCTGCCGCTGTCGTCGTCGGCAGCGGCGGCGCCCCCGGGCTGGTCGCGGCGAGATGACAATCTGACGAGGGAGCCGCCGCCAAGGCCGAGGGACGCGACGGCAGGCAGCGCAAAGTTTGTGACCACGCCGCAGATGCTGGTCGCGCCGCCGGCTGCGCGCGGCAGGCCGTTCGAGACGACGCCTGCGCGGGCGCATGCGAGGACGGTGAAGGGACCAAAAGATTCAGCAATGGGAAAATCAGGGCGACAAGCTGGGGACTGGTGCTGCAGTTTTGACCAGTTGCTAAGTGTAGTCAGCAGGCCTGCAGACAACAGCTGAGAGCAGTGAAGGGGAAGCTTCCATACCGATGTCGGTCGTGGTGCCGCCGATGTCGACCACAATAGCATCCGTTACGCCGGCCAGAAATGCGGCCCCACGCATGCTGTTGACCGGGCCTGACTGGAACGACATGACAGGAAGCTGCTAGGGCGCGCACGTGGGAGGTGGGAACAGCGAGGGGGGTTGGCGCGCACCACGCGTGGGCCGTTCGCGCAAGAGGGGTAGGGCGCAGGATTCAGGCGCAAGGTTCAGAAAGCAACCTCCAGGGCCGCCTGTAAATTCGAGGACACTTGTATCGCTCTGCAGAGCCAAAGCAAAAGCATGCAAAGATCTTTGCACGTGGATTGAGATCCTGTTACCTATGCAACCGCTGAGCCAGCCGTCTGCACACCCATCGGATTCCAAGCAGGCACCAGCGCGGCCCCACCACCCACGCAGCCACGTATCCGCCCATCCACCCACCTACACATCCACCCCCCCTCCCCACCTACCCACCCAACCACCCAACCACCTCTGCGGCGACCTCCGCCCGCAGCAGCGCGCCGTCGCTGCCCGTCAGGAACAGCCGCGCCCCCGCCAGCCCCAGCGGCGCGAGCGCGGCCGCATACTGCGGCACAAGTCGCGCCGCCAGCGGCTGCAGGGCCGCATTGAGGATCGCCGCGCCCTCGCGCTCAAGCAGGCCCAGGTCACCCAGGGCGTGAGAGAGGGTCAAGTGGACGCGCCTCCCTGGAGGAGGGGGGAATCGATTCGTTTTCGCAACACACCGACGAGGGAATGGAGTGGTTGGGTGGGGTTGGGTGCAGTCCGCACGGGGTACGGCACCAATATGCTCCCCAGGCAAACAAGGTCACGGCATGTGCGGCCAGATTCATCAAGGCGGCGTGTTGCTTGTTGCGGTCAGTCCCCGAGTTTTCTGGCGGCGGCACCCAGGCGCGTCGCCGGCGCCGCCCGGCCCACCCGGCGCGAGCCTGTCCACCGCGGCCCGCAGCCGCGCCGCGAACGCCTCCTCCTGGGCCCCGTTGAGCGGCGAGAAGACGCCGCAGACCGCCACTGCATCGAGCCCGCGGTCCAGCAGCAGCCGCGCCGCGGCTGCTGCGTCGTCCTCGCCCCCTTGCGGCTCACTGATGGGCGTCGCGCCATCGTACTCGAATCCGCCTTTGGGGTTGTTTTTGGGTAATTGAATGGGTGCAGGTGGGCGCAGCTTCAGCTTGTATAGCAGGTTGTGATAGCTTCAGCAGCGACGAGCCCAGCGGCGCGACGCGGCGCCTGCTGGGCTGCCCTGCGCGCCGCCGCGGCCGACCTGGGCAGGCAGGCCCCACCCAGCCGCTGACCGCGGGGGTGCCGGTTTGTGAGCGGCGGCGCGCGCCCGCGCGCCTTGGGCGAAGAGGTGGCCGCCTTCGACCGCGCGCCGCAGCGGCGGGGGGAATCCTGAGAAGGGCGGCAGGCCGCGCGTGGCGGGGCCGCACAGCCGCACTGCCAGCACGCGCGCGAGGCCGCGGCGCTGCACCAGGGCGTTGACCAGCTGGGTGGTGCCCAGCATCAGCGCCTGCACGTCGGCGGGGTCTGGCGGGGCGCACGAGCGGTTGAGCAGTTGCGTGGGCTGCGCGGGCTTTGCGAAGTGGCTTTTACTAGGCGTGGCGAGGGCCAGGGCATAGCGGGGGGGCACTGTGCTCTGCGTCGCCTGGTGGCCGCCCACTTGCAAGCTGACCTGCGCACCTGTGCTAGCGGCTTTGAGGGCAATCGCGCAAGCGCCGACGATGCCGCCGACGACGTCGGGCGTGGTGCGTGCCTTGCCAGTCCCCAGCACACGCGTGCCGTGCAGCACTGCTGCATCGGTATGGGTGCCGCCCACGTCCACTCCAACACGCAGCATCTTGATAAATGGAATCAATGCGTGTGCAACATCAAACGGCTATGTACCGGTACATATGACGGGACTGCAATGGACGAGATCTACGGTACACTCCGTCTGATCTGGTGTGGCGCGAGGCGTACAAACCACTTTGGAACGTTGGATTTTCACATGAGCGCGATCCAATGCGCGCAAGGGTACTGGCCTTCATTGGTGCAGATACCCGCAGGCTGCGGCCACCACAAAGCACAAACCGAACCTCAACCACCAGTCCACGCATTGCGCGCGGATGATTGCGCACGCTGGCCATGCTGCTGTGCAGACAGGCAGGGGGTAATTCAGGCAGGTTTAAATCTTGTGTATCAGGCCTCAAGGGCTACAGGGAGGGAGGCCTGGGAGACGGGGGTGCAAGCATTGTCGGCCCGTACCCAAGATGTGCTGTGGCTGGGAGCTGTGAGGATTGCGCTTGAGCTTCAGCAGCAGCGACCGCATTGACCCAGGATGTCGCCCCATGACGGGAGCTGGGCTGGCCCCCCCCAAAAACAAACAAACAAAACAGCTGCCGCAGCCGTAAATGCGGCATGCACTCCCGTCCGGGTCAGAAGTGGGCATCGGCTCTGCTCAGCGCGCACGTGCCGGGAAGTTTGTAGGTCACACACTAGCTCAGACACTGACAGAAAAACTAAAAATGGCACTTGCAGAAGGAAAGAGTCCACTCAGCATGCGGAAGGCGCGGATGAGCTTGCACTGCAGTGTGCCCACAACCTTGCAGGCGTGTCCTTTGCAGAAAGGGCTCGCTTGCCTGTATGATACCTGCCTCCTGAACGCAAGGAATAAAGCTTTTTGCGGGATAATTTGAGTGCACTGGGCACGGGGGCCACATGGGATTGGCTGCGATGGTCAATTCCCCAGCGGGCAAAGTAGTGAGCCATGCATGCGGATGCGCCACGCAGCACAGGGCGTGGTCGGCCCTGTGTTTATGAGCAAGTTGAGCCTTCACCTGTAACATGTAGAATTCAAATCGGGAAGGCACCCCACCATCTCACACCAAGCAAGCACAAGCGCACAACCGGTCACAGTCGCACAGTCGCCGAGATCTTGGTCGACGATCTCTGTGACCTCATCTAGCGGTGGCGGTGGTTATGAGCACGATGCAGAGGCCGCAGATGATTGACAGCTGCAGCGGCTGCCGGAGCTGGAGAGCCTTCCGCTCTGCCCGGTGACCGTCAGCTGCTCGGGCTACGTTCATTGCACCTGATTTGTTGTCGAAGCATTCTGCTCATCTACAAAACACACCCACCGCTTGCAGGCCCCACGGGCTCAGGAGGCGCACTGCAGTGGCAGCCCTGTCGGCGGAAGCGGGGCAGCACGAGCAGCATGAGCACGGGCAGCAGCAGGTGTGGACCGACGCCGCTGCTTCTCGCGAGGCCGCATGATCCTAGACCTACGCCTGACACGAACGCGACGCTTTACGGTTGCTTTGCGCCGCTGCTCGTGCACACCGCAGGTCGCGTCGCTCGCTCGTTTCCCGCCATGATTCCACCACTGCTGAGCCGCCGCCGTCCACCCCTGCAGGCGCCCACGCGGCGAGACACCCTGCTGCGCGTGCTGGCCTCGCCAGCGCTCGCCGCGGCGGCCCTGCAGCTGCCGGCGGCGGCGCCCGCGCGCGCCGCCGACGGCGTCCCCTCACAGGGACCGCCCGGAGCCTTGCTGGAGGTGCGCAGGCAGGCCAGCCTGCCACCCAGCAACCTGGCGGCGGCAGCGGGGGCGCGTCTTGTTGCGAATGGGCCAGGGCGGGGGTCAGACAGCGCAGCATGCCTTGTACAGCGTGAGCAGGGGGGGGCGTGCTCGGGCACGCAGCTGCGACGAGATCCTGGCAGTCAACAGCTCAGCAGGATCCTTCCCGCACTGGCGTTTGGCGCCGATGGGGTGTCAATTCTTCTCGCAAGCCACACGCGTCCAGCCAACACCCTCCCTTGACGATCCGTCCCCCTCCCATACGCGACCACGTATGTATGGACATGCGCACACGTCCCCAGGACGAGCGCGTGACCCTCGTCACCAACGCCGAGGCCGCCAACCTGCTGACGCCTTCAGACAAGCAGGCAAGAGGCGGGCGCATCCCCCCAAACCGCGGGCGCACCCCCCCAAGCCACGGGCGCACTGCACTGCAGCTGAATATGTGCGCGGGGGCCGCCACCCGACGGCGAAAGCAGCCGCCCACTGACGCCATGGTCACTGTGCGCCGCGGGTCTTGACGCACGCGCCGCGCGACCTCCTCGCCGCGCCGCTCCCCCAGGTGCTGGCGCTCAACCGGCGCGTGCAGGCGCAGAACCGCGCGCCCGCGGAGTTCCCGGCATTTGTGCGGCAGGGCTTCGATATCTTAGTCATCGCCGATGACTACCAGGAGACGGCTGACGGGTCAGCGGTGATGGCGCTCGCTCGGCTTTTTTCGGGGGGAGGGGACGAACAGGGCTTGGGAGTAGGGGAGTGAGCGGGGGACGGTTTCGCACCCCATGTATGAGGCGGCCTGAAGGCCGCGAGGCTGCCGCGGCTGTTTGGAGAAAGGGTGTTGAGTACGTTGGCTGGTGCGCACGGTGTGGCAGGATACTGCCAGCAAATGTGTGACTTGAAAGGTGCTGTTGTCGGTAGTTCTACGACTAGGCACGCATCATCGAGTCCATGCCTGCCAAACCTTTCTCCCCCCCAGGCTGCTCTTCAAGGACTTCAAGGAGGGGATTGGGGCGCAGCCGCAGGAGGGGCAGCAGGTGGGGCCCGAGGCCGCGCGGCGCGCGCGCGCGCGCGTGCGTGCGAGGCGCATGCGGGGTGCACCTGCGATAAGCATGCCGGCACAGCGGGTTTTTGGGGGGCAGCTGTTCCCCCAACCACACGCCCATGCTCCAAGGCCCGTCCCTAAACTTTTGCCGCTGATACTTTTTCCTGCTGCCGCATACATCGCCTATCGAATTATTTTCGCCCTCACCCCACACGGGTGCCGCCCCCCTGCATACCAACCACCCCCTTGCGTACGGGCCCCCACCCACAGTGCCCCCCCTCCGTACCGCCCGCCACCCGTGCTGCCCTCCCAACTGTACCGCCCCTAGGTGGTGTTTGACTACACGGGGTACAATGAGAGCGGCGTGCCAATTGATAGCAGCTATCGCCAGGGCCGCCCCGCGGAGACGCGGCTCGGCATCGCCGGCCTCATTCCGGGTGAGGGCGCGGCTGCGTGTGACCCCTTCTCAAATCCCTTCGTCGGCGCGAGTCGCCAGCAAGGCGGCGGCACAGCAGTCGAAACATGTATCTGCACTTGCTGGCCTGGAGCTTCGCTGCTCAGGATTTGGCCCGCCGCACACCGCCTGCACGCCCCACACCGCCTGCACGTCGCTGATCGTTACAACACGCCAGCTTCCTCACATGACAATAGTTGTGCTTCGCGTCGCTCCCTTCGGCGCTTTGCGGCGTCACACCACAGCCCTCTGGTTTGTTTCGGCCGACTCCTGCATTGTCAACGACCCTCTCGCTTGCCAGCCTTGCACTCACAGCAATCCCCCTCCCTGTTGCCCGCAGGCTTTGAGCTGGGCATCCGCAGCATGAAGGTCGGCGGCAAGCGGCGCATCATCGTGCCGCCCAAGCTGGGCCCGCCCGTGGGCCCCTCAACCTTTTTCAGCGCCAAGCAGTGCGAGGTGGGCGGCTTGGCGTGGGGCTTTGAGGCGCAGCACGGCGGGACATCCGCACTGTCGTCATCAGCATCTTATGCAAATTGCCTTGTGCACGTTGCCAGTTTCGCTGGCTCGCGTTCGCCGGCAGTCTCATGGCGCCAGGGACTGCTGTTCCGCTCACCCCCTCTGCGACTGGCGGCTCCTCCTCCCCCTGCTCCTCGCTTGACCCTGTGCCCTGCGCCCACCTGGCCCCACGCCCCGCCAGGTGTTTGACATCGAGCTGCGGGGGCTGCGCACCTGCCGGCAGGAGCAGGTCATGATGTTCTCACGCGTCGTGTGCGAGTGACGGCCGGCGGCTGCGAGTGATGATTTGCGGCGTGCTCCCGCCACCAACTTTTGCAAACATGTGGGCTTTGTCAATCTAGCGGCGGCTTGCCGGCGCTGTTGACCACAATGGATTTGCTGAGTTGCCTCCTGTCAAGTTATTTATTGGTGCTGTGCGCTTCACACTCTGTAAGATTTTCCAAGTGTCGAACTGCGGGGTCTTCTCCGGAACGATCACACGCCACCTGTCAGTGCAGACTCCGGTTGCGGGCGGGTAAGCCGCTATATTTGCTGCGAGCATGCCTTCTAGGGCTTCCTGGATGCCTTCTGGGGCTGCATGAGGGCTCAGGCCTTAGCTGCTTCACGGCCAATACCCACACCTCAAAAGCGGCCCCTGCTGTGCTGCTGCTAGAAACAGCACACGTGATGGGGATAAAAATGATGGCTCCACATTGTGCTGTGCCTTGATGCAAGATGGCTGTCACGTCCAGCGTGATTATGCACGTGAGCCCTGCTGTTCCAACTGCAGACGCATGTTCAGGCCAAATCCCGTTCGCCGCATACGGCATGTATCAAAGCTCAGCCGCCCCTCCGCAACGCCCCGCCCATCAGCGCCTGCTGCAACTAGAACGTACACAGCATGCAAATTGGGTCTAGTTACATGCGTCGCGGAGACAAGCACCAGGCCTGCGGCCCCCACTCGGCGCAGCCGGGTTCGCCCCCGCGGGGCGCCGGCACGGGCCGGCGCGCGCCGCGCCGCGGCCTCAGTCGTCCTCGTCGTCGTCCTCCTCCTCTGCCTCCTCCAGCCACTTGATGAAGGGCTGGATGTCGTTGAGGAAGACGTTGCGGCCCTTGGGGTGGCTGCCCTTCTTGTACCAGTGCTGGATGGTGTCCTCGGCCACCAGGTCGCTGCTGTACAGCGCCTTGACCACGTCCGTGAACATCTTCAGCAGCCGGTTGTCCTCGTAGCACGCCACCTAGGGG